AGCCCCTGAAGTGAAACAAAAAGCTTTGCTGTAGGCCGAGTGAATTTAACTTGTAAGAATATAGGGAAGCAGCTGGGACGAATGTTCTGGAATGGGAAAGTTTTATGACTGTAGACAAAGTTGGAGAAACTCAACATAGAAATGGCTGAATATCATTGGATAAAGTCATGGGGAGATTGAATCAGAGGGCTAGAAGTGGGTCCTAGTATGTTAGCATCTGACCTCTGGAAGATGGAACTATTCTTGAGGCTAGGGAAGAGGAGAGACAAGCCTGGCTGGTGTGTGCCTTGTCCTTGGTATGTAAATGGTTAATAAAGCGAGGGATGAGCTCGGCTCCTGCGAGCTCTACTTTGCATCTCAACTGGCTGGCTTTCTTGCTGGCCTAGCCCAATGGGAATCCTCTTCATAAAAGCTCTTAATGATTCCCCTGTGTAGACCACAAATAGCAGGGAGGCTGGGCTGGGCATGGTAAGGAAAATGCTGCTTGCTTCTTGACCACTCACTACTCCTGTCTCAGCACCAAGGCAGGTACAACTTCAAGTCCAAGCTGTGGGTTCCAGGAGCTCCTTGGGAGGGTGCTCTTAGAAGCCTTATTACTGCCAAAACTTGAATGTCAGGGAGGACACAGCCAGGCGAAGTGTGTCAACCTGTAATGGCCAGTTCTGGACCAGCCAGTACTATTGGGGCTGTCTATAAAAAAATGTGTGTGCAGACCCAGAACAGGGCATTCTTCAGGTAGAGGTTGTGATTGGATGAAGGCTGGGGAAGTGAGCAGGATTCGGGCCATGGAGAATCTGTGTGATAACTATCTCTTATTTGATCTGTGGTGTTGGGGATAGAACCTGGTGGATAAGTGCTCTACCCCTGGGCCCACCCCCATCTGGCATGGAATGGGTATGTCACTGTAGACTTGAGGATGCAGTGATTGGATGGGAGAGTGGTGTGTAGCAGATGGGAGGTTGCTGAGGATGGTGACAAAGGACAGTAGGCTGATGAAGTCCTGCACACCACTGAGCTCTGCTTGTTTCCAGGGCTTGCCTCTGCCAACCTCACGTGCCTTCTCTGCCAAGTGTGCTTTTCCTCGATGCATTTCTGCCTTCCCTCTCTTCTGTTCTCAGTGTCATGGCAGAACAGGATGTGGAAAATGAGCTTCTGGATTATGATGAAGATGAAGAGCCCCAGGCACCCCAGGAGAGCACTCCAGCTCCCCCAAAGAAAGATGTCAAAGGCTCTTATGTCTCCATCCACAGTTCTGGCTTCCGGGACTTTCTGCTGAAGCCGGAGCTCCTGAGAGCTATAGTAGACTGTGGCTTTGAGCATCCTTCAGAGGGTATGTATGCTACCCTGGTGCGCCCCAGTTAGGCCCTCTTCCCCGAGTTAATCCTACTCATCCTGAGCTTCTCCTGTGCCTTGGATAGGGGTATGACCTCCCCATGAGTCAGATCAGCAGTCTCTCTGCAAGCAGATGATTGGGCCTGGCTCTTCTGACCTTCTCTGGCTGAGGCGTGTGCAGAGAAGCAGCAGCCAGTTTCTTAACTCATACACTTTTTTTCTTCTTTAGTCCAGCATGAGTGTATTCCCCAGGCCATTCTGGGTATGGATGTCCTGTGCCAGGCCAAGTCTGGGATGGGCAAGACAGCTGTGTTTGTGCTGGCCACCCTGCAGCAGATCGAGCCTATCAATGGCCAGGTACATGTGGGCTCTTCTCTAGGGTAGTTACATGTGACAGTATAGCCTTGGGGCTCATGAAAGAAACTGCTTCCATTTTCTCTGTGGGCTTTTGAATTTAACCTGGGAAGTGAAATTAAACTGACTGCAGTCACCACGGTTGCTACTGATTAGCTTTGCAGGTGTTGTAACACCACCATTATAGATAAATTGTACGGTCTTAAGAGTTATGCTGGAGTCCAGGATAGGAAGCTGAGGGAGAAACAAGTCATGTTGTGGTGGGCTGCAGTGTGGTTGTGTGGTAGAGCTCTGGGGAGCCCGAGTGAGGCTTTAGCTTGTGTTCTCCGGTGGGTGTCTGCTTGTCCTCAGGGTCTGACAAGAACATTTAGGGAAGGGCTATGCTGTGGTTGAGAAGACATGGCAGCCTGAGGTAGCCCTTTTATCTAGAGTCAATTGTGCCATTCTCTGTTCCTGGCCTACTGAGGGAGACAGGCCTCAGTAGCCATGAGGAGCATAGGTCAGGGTAAGGAGAAGTGGAGATGTTTGAGCTTCAGATGGCTTAATTATTGTAATAGGTTGCTGTGGGTTTGGGGTAGGGTGGTGCAGATTCTGGAAAAGAAGACCTGTTTGTTGCTCTACAGGTATCAGTACTGGTCATGTGCCACACAAGGGAGCTGGCCTTCCAGATCAGCAAGGAGTATGAGCGCTTCTCTAAGTACATGCCCAGTGTCAAGGTAAGCCTCCTCATCCTCAGGTGCTGTGTTGGGTACCATGTGGCCTTCTGGAGCCATGCTGGACTCAGCTTCAGCTCAAACAGCATTTATCAATCTTAAGGTTTGTGGTAACTTATGTTCCTTATAAGCCTGATGAGTTACGCCCAGCCCCCACAGGCTTGTGCTGGTCCCACATACCTCAGCCTTGCCCCCTGCTCTTCAGGCTCCCCTGGGTTTGAGGAAGTAGGGCTGGAGTGTCAGGTCCCTTCAGGATGGGTGAGGCCTATGCTGTAAGGCTCACTATCCCCCAGATGGGTGGAAACAACTTTCTTTCTGTCCCCATAGGTATCTGTGTTCTTTGGAGGTCTCTCCATTAAGAAGGATGAAGATGTGTTGAAGAAGAACTGTCCCCATGTTGTGGTGGGGACACCAGGCCGGATCCTGGCACTCGTGCGGAGCAGGAGCCTCAACCTGAGGAATGTGAAGCACTTTGTGCTAGATGAATGTGACAAGATGCTGGAACAGCTGGGTGAGCATCCTACTGGCCTGTCAAGCTGGCTTCCCACTCACAGAGTCACAGGCATTTTCTAGGCCCTGATGGGGCAGGCTGTAGCTCTCATAGTGGGTCACATGGGTGGCCAAGCTCAGGGCTCCTAGGAGAAGCCTGAGGGAAAATGTAAGGTTGACAGAGTGTGTGCTGCTTCTGACCCAGAGTCAGTTGGGACCATAGGCCCCATGAGCTGCCATCCATCCCTTTAGGACATGTAGGCACATCCAGGGAATGTAGAGGAGTAGAGTGGCCTCTGCCACCCATCAGGGGCTGGGAGAGATGGGCATGTGTCCTGGGAAGCAGCTGCAGCTCTCACGCCAGTGGCTGTCTCTGCCTCAGGCTCCCTTTCCTGAAGCGTGGCTCCAGGCGCACTGGCAGGGCCGCTCCATGCTGGCAGCGAGTAAGTGGACCGCAGCTCCTCCCATGCCTGCGCTCCCGCCCATCCGAGCCCAGCCCCTCAGGCAGCGGGACGCCCGGGGCCCACTCCACCGCGGCTATGGTGCCAGTGTTGTCTGGCCCAGGTTGGGAAGGGCTGGTTCCTCTCTGGTGTGGGTCTGCTCAGTCAGACAAGACACTCAGGCTTGCTATTTGTTGGCATCCCATCCAGACATGCGCCGGGATGTACAGGAGATCTTTCGTCTGACACCCCATGAGAAGCAGTGTATGATGTTCAGCGCCACCCTGAGCAAGGAGATCCGGCCAGTCTGCAGGAAGTTCATGCAGGATGTGAGTAGGGTGACGCCCCAGCTGGCTGCCTGCCACCGTGGCCAACACCTCAGCGCCGCAGCTTTGGCCCTCCCTGATGGGCTGGGCCACTCTGCGACAAGCACACTGCTCTCATGGCCTGGAGGATGCCAGGAGGCTTCGCTGGCCTCCTTATTTCCCCTGGTTTGTCAAACTGGGAGCTGAGTGGTCCACACCTGAGCCAGAGGCAGAGCTTACATCCGGCTTTTGGGAGAGAATTGTTTACTGAGGTTGGGTGCAACAGGCCCTCTGGGAGTCATCAATACAGAGGAGCTGCTCCCTGGAAGGTTCCGGGCACATGAGACGCCCAGAAGTGAGCCCTACTCGCCCCTTCCTGCTTCCCTTCCCACACAGCCTATGGAGGTGTTTGTGGACGACGAGACCAAGCTCACACTGCATGGGCTGCAGCAGTATTACGTCAAGCTCAAGGACAGTGAGAAGAATCGTAAGCTCTTCGACCTCCTCGACGTGCTAGAGTTTAACCAGGTGATGCTTCCTTACCCACACTAAGATGTGGGTGGGCCTGTGGGGTGATTATCTGTCCATGGGCCTAAACACCGTTTTTCTTCAGGTGGTGATCTTTGTCAAGTCTGTGCAACGCTGCATGGCCCTGGCCCAGCTCCTAGTGGAGCAGAACTTCCCAGCTATCGCTATTCACCGAGGCATGGCCCAGGAGGAGCGGTGAGTGCATGATATCCCCCAGGGCCGAGGGCACTTGCTGAGCGCTGGGCTTCAGGTCTAATGCCTCTGCTGTTCTCTCCTGCTCTAGCCTGTCCCGGTATCAGCAGTTCAAGGACTTCCAGCGTCGCATCCTGGTGGCTACTAATCTGTTCGGCAGAGGTATGGACATTGAGCGAGTCAACATCGTCTTCAACTATGACATGCCAGAAGACTCGGATACCTACCTTCACCGAGTGAGTGCTCCCCCCGACCCCAGTGTGGGTGGGGTCAGGGCCTCCCTCACCCTTTGTCAGATCCTGAGGAGTGCCTGTCTCCTGACCCCATCTCTCTGCAGGTGGCTCGTGCTGGTCGCTTTGGTACCAAGGGCCTGGCAGTCACTTTTGTATCAGATGAGAATGATGCCAAAATCCTTAATGATGTTCAGGACCGGTTTGAAGTGAATGTGGCTGAACTTCCAGAAGAAATAGACATCTCCACATACAGTGAGTGCCTGGGCCTCTCTGGGCAGGAGCTGGGCTTCAGGAGCAAAGGCCCTCTATCCTTACTGTGTCTTTCTTGTCTTCACAGTTGAGCAGAGCCGGTAACCATATGTGTAGCCAGGGCACCATGGCCACCCTGTTTCCCAGCTGCTGCTTCAGATCCTCTTTCTAGGTGACAAATCGGTGTCTCTTTTTATTGTTCCAAAGCTTTAGCTATGTAAGAATAAACTTTTATTGTGAATGCCTGCCTCCAGCCCCATCTTTCTTTAGGTCAGCATCTCATGGGGGTTTGTCAAGCCAGCAGACCTCTCTACCAGCAAGTATGCCATCTTTTTTTTTTTTTTTTTTTTATCAGTATATTTAATTTTGTGTGTCAACATTAAAAGGTTTACGGGTTAAAAAAAAAATTACAAAACTAGTCTTTGAACTGTGCGACCCTCTGCCCTGGATATGGGGCAGCCAGGCCTCTGTACCGTGAGCCTCAGCAGCAGGCAGGTCCTCAGTGGTGACATGGCACCCACTGTCAGTCTTAGCTTAAGGAAATTGAACCCAGCACCCTGGCAAAGAGCCCAGGTCTCAAAGGACTTTTGTCCTAGGACTGCCTGCCTCGTGTCCCAGATGGAGGGCTGCAGGTCTGGGCTATCTGGCTTCTGTCTCTGGTAGGCAGGAGCTGTGGTGAGGCCAAGGCAACCAGGAGCAGGACCAGAAGGCAGAGTGACGGCCTTGAGTGTGTGCTGCCGTCCTTCGTGGAACTTGCCTTCACATCCCTGATTCTGAGGGCCTGAGAGCCTGCAGAGGAAGGAGGGCTTTGAGGCTGAGCTCACCCATACATCCCCCCCCCAGCCTACTGCAGGCTAGCCCCTTACCCGGGTCTGGCTGGTGCCAGTGCCTGTTGAGGAAGAGTTGAACTCTGTGTACTTGTTCCCAGTAACTATGCAGGCCCATTTCCAGTACTCTTCCCTCACCTGTGGGCCCAAGGCACCAAGTTATGGGAAGAAAGGAGCTGGCCTCAGGACTCAGGCCTGGCCCTGCCTCCGCCCACCCTGGGCTCCTCCTATAGCCAGCTCTGGTCAGCCTACCTTTTTGTTGAGCAGGCAGAGGGTCACATAGAGGAAAAGGCCCTGCAAGCAGTTGAGCAGGGTGAAGATGTAAGATAGCCATGTGCTGTGAGGGTTGAAGAGGAACAGGCCGAAGCCCCAAGTACAGCCCAGCACGAGGAATTGGGCAATGGCAGTGATGGTCAGCACCCTGGGGGGGAGGGGGTGGACAATTGCAGCTGACAGCCTGGTCTCCAGCCCTTCCAACTCCACCTGCTCAACGCTAGCCCTCAACCTGGCTCTGCCCAAAGCCTCCCTCCCTGCCCCTCTTACCTCGCCTTCCTTAATTTCTTCATGTTTGGGTTGATTTCAGAAAACTTGCTTGTGAGCTTCCAGACAGTGATCACAAAAATGGCAGCATTACACTGGGTGGGAATCACGGATCTCAGGTTATAGGGCTGCCAGTAGTTAGCAGTCTTGCTGCCCTGGCCTCTAATTCCCAGAGAGTACTTACGAAAATGATGAAGGCCACTGGTCCCGAAAAGCTCCAGAGTAAGCCATGCTTCCTGAAGTCCAACCAGCAGCTGGGAGAGAAGGTGCCTCCTCAGTGCCCCAGCCTCAGCCCCTGCCCCAGCCCTGCCTGGGCCTCACATCAGTACACTCACTATGTTGCGTGCCCATAGCCATCCATTTGGACAGCCGCCATTGAGATGACCACGATGAGGAGGGGCACCCCGTAGCCAATCAGGCAGCGGTACCACGTACTCAGGCCTTGACCCTGGAACACCCGCACCACCAGGAAGTAGAGCTCTACGCCTTCCAGTGCCATCCAGCAGAAGGCAGCCAGGAAGCAGAAATGCAGCATCACAGCCACCAGGCGGCAGCGCAGGCCCACCTGTGGGTACGGAGAGTGTTAGGAACCTGCGGCACTGCAGGGCAGGACCACTGGGCTTGAAAGCAGACCACAGCAAGGGCTCCAGGTTCTGGATCCACACTGAGCCCCAGGCCTACACCAGGCTACCTTACTCCTAGAACTTGACCTCATGCTCTGGTGAGGTTAGGACAGGAACGTACCTCACCGCCTTCATTCTCAACGCCAACCAGGAATATGAGTGAGCCCAGGAAAAGGCAGATGCACAGGTGCAGGTGCACCATGGTCCGAGAACTTTGTATGGGCTTCACCAGCAGGAAGGTCAGGACACACAGCAGCAGGAAGATCAGGGACAGCAACAACCCCACCTTGGTGATCAAGATCAGCCTGGGGTCCTAGGGACAGGCAACCAGGATGAGTGGTGGTCCCTCATACCCTCCAAGGGGGGGGGCTGCTCTTTCCCTACATTCAAAACCCCAGTTGATCCTTTCCTACTTATGAAAAGTCAAAGATCCTACTTCCTGTCTTGAACCACAGGGCCAACTGGCTAATTCAAGCCGATGACCATGTGGCCCAGGTTATAACCATGTTCAGGAAGCTATACTGCATGGGACATTCTATACGGGGCCTTTTAATCATGTATTTGCAGGGGCTTGGGAGGTGAAGTATCTGTTGCCACTGTGTTTTCTGGAGATGAAACTCAGGTTATTAGGTTGGCTGCCTGCAGGTACCTTTACTCACTGACCCATCCCATCTGCCCAGACGAATGTGTTTTTAGCAGTACTTGACAGTTATGCAGGGACTCAGACAGAGGCCTGCATCATCTTCATCTACAGGGTCACAAAGAGGATTCCAGGGGAGGAACCTAGAAGCAGGGCATGGGGCCATCCAAAGGGGTCTGCTTAAACAATACCTGGGCATCCAAGGCTTACCACTTACCTGCACGTGGTACTGAGCCATTAGGATGGCAAAGCTGGTCAGGTGGTCGCAGTGGCAGAAGCCAGTGTCATTCATGAAGCAGCCGTCGGTGTCCCAGTACCCACTCCCATTGTCATGGTCTTTCCAGAAGGCGCACATCAGCTCCTGACGTGCCTGAATCTTCTCCTATGGGGCAGACAGGTGGTGAGGCGTCAGAAGCACACTTAGGGCCGGTCTGTGGTGAGCAGAGAGTGTGGGAAGCCAGCAATGGAACAGCAGGACCCCAGTCTCTGCCTTGAGTTGAAGCAAATCACAAGCAGTCACAGGTAATAAATGCCAAAGAAATGGAAAGAGCCAGTGGGAATGACTGCCTACAGATTGTAATTTAAAAACAAAAAGGTTTATTGATGTCCTCAGACTATATGTATAATGTCTCATGTACCCCAGGTTGCTCTCAAACTCACTGCGGCTGAGGCTGAGGCCGACTTTTTCCTTCTACTTCCTGAGTGCTGGGACTACAGCTTATGTGCTACTTTAGTCCAGGCCTCATGCATGTTAGACAAATAGTCCACCAATAGCACCAGAGCTTATCACGAGCCTGGATTAATTTTTAACTTTGAAAATTAACATGTATATAGCTAGGTGTGGCTAGACACATATACATACTGCTTTAATCTAAGGAATTACAGCAGACAGGTGGATCTCCGAGTTGCAGGCCTGCCAGAAATACACAGTGAGGCATTGTCTTATATACAGGGGTAGATGGGGGTCTGAGGGCTCAAGAAATGTCTCAGCAGTTGAGAGCATTGACGGGTCCGATTCCCAGCACCCACATGGTGGCTCACCCCACCCACAACTGTCTAACTCCAGTTCCAGAATATCCGTTCTGGCCTTCGTGGGACTGGGCATCCATGTAGTACACAGACATACATGCAGGCAAACACCAGAACACAATTTTTAAACTTCCATTGATGGGGGCTGCACTTGTACTACAGCAAGCATACGGAGGGCAAAGGGCAATTCATGAGAACTGGTTATCTTCTGCCATGGAGGTCCCAACTAGGCTGGGAATTAAACTGAGGCTTGGTGAAAAGCACCTTTGCCCACCGAGCCACCTTGTCAGATCCAGAATACATTTTTTTTTTGTTTTTGTTTGTTTTGTTTTTCGAGACAGGGTTTCTCTGTGTAGCCCTGGCTGTCCTGGAACTCACTCTGTAGACCAGGCTGGCCTCGAATTCAGAAATCCGCCTGCCTCTGCCTCCCAAGTGCTGGGATTAAAGGCGTGCGCCACCACTGCCCAGCTCAGAATACATTTTTAAAAAAGATTTGTTTGTTTTATGTATATGAGTACACTGTAGCTGTCTTCAAATATATCAGAAGAGGGCATCAGATCCCATTACAGATGATTGTGAGCCACCATGCGGTTGCTGGGACTCAGCACATCTGGAAGAGCCTACAGTGCTCTTAACTGCTGAGCCATCTCTCCAGCCCTTTTTAAACATTTTATGATACTGAGGACCAAACCCTATGACCTTACCATGACAAGTAAACATTGTACCATTGAGTCAACTACTGGCCTTGTCTGACAGTTACTTATCTGTTTGGTCATTCATTCATTCATTCAATTCAGCAGTACTAGGGGCTGACCCCAGGGACTTTCTGAATGCCAACTAACTGTAGTACTGAGTTTGAAGACAAGGTCTTGCCAAGTTGCTCAGGTGAGCCTTAACTTCACTCTAGTTCAGGCAGGCTTTGAACCTTGAATCTCCTGCCTCCCAGCAGTTGAGAGTAAAATGCCTATGCCACAAAACCCAGCTCAGATTTTATTTTTTTATCTGTATTTAGTTTTGGGTTTTGCTGTTTATTTTTTGGGACAGGGTCTCTATAGAGCTTTATCCTGAAATTCTCTGTAGACCATGCTGGCCTGAAACTCAGAGACCCTGCCAAGTACTAGAATTAAAGGCATGTGTTACCATACCCAGCTATAATTTTACATTTTTTATGTACTTTTAGTGTTTTTTTTTATTACATTTATTTTGTGTGTGTGTTGGAGGAATGAGTCAGGAGTCACTTTGGGAGTTGGTTCTCTTGTACCATGTTGGTCAGAGAGGCTGCCCTGACTTTTGACTTTGGTTAGGGGGTGAGCCACCAAGAATCTTCTACCCTCCCCTCCCTCCCATTGGAGGACTCACAGAAGTAAAGTTGAACTTGAATGTGACATTTGAGGTGAGCTTCTCAGTGTCCGTGTTGGTCAGGAAGATGGAATTGATGTTTGAGAGGAACTTAAGTGTGATACTCGGAACCGGGCTTCCATAGAAATCCTCCAAGGCGGCCCTCCTCTGCTCCAGGTTCAAGGAGGTTTTGGCCAGCAGGTTTTTCATGTTTGGACTGGACAGGATGCCCGCCACCGAGTAGCCTGGGGGCAGACATGCAGGCTCAACTCCCGTCCTCTCTTTGTACTCCTCCCAGTGGGCTGGTGTCTGTCTACCTGTCCTACACTCCAGACCTCACCCTGGTTTCCCTGGCAGACACCCTCCCTGGACCCCTACCACACTCCAGACGTCACCCTGGTTTCCCTGGCAGACACCCTCCCTGGACCCCTACCGTTTTCTGAGCTTTTGGTTCCAGCTGTCACACCCCAGTCCAGCTTCATCCAAACTTGGCTGTGGCTCACTGTGGTAACATCTTTGTTGTCTTGCTCCTTGACCATCAGGGACAGTTCTGAAGAGACAGGGACATGATTGGAGAAACCAAGGATGGTACCTGGAAGTGGGGCAGGAAGAAGGCTTACCAGTGTTTGAAGGGGACGTGTAGGTGAAAGGGCCTTTGGGTAAGAACTGGGCCAAGGTCCGAAGGCTTTGTTCCAGGTTCGAGAGCAACAGAGTGGCTACTTGTTGGGTTTGAGTCTCTATATCCAAGGGGGCTTCCAGCAGCTTGTCCACAGCTTCAATGAGTTTCTGGGGTGATGAGCGACAGTTGTTGAGGTTTGTAACCACAGGAACTAAATGAAGGACCCTGACCACTCTTCCCACCAGCCCACACTGGAGAGCCTCGTGGGTTCCCAGGGGAACCAGCTGTCAGGATGCATTAAGACTTACACAGTAGCTGAAAAACAAGGAAGTCTATGACCCTGTGCACCTGCATGTCACAACAGCACATTCACAGCAGCAGGTACAGTGACTGCCAAGGCTCTGCTGAACCACACCCCCAGCCCCTCACTGGGAATTCTTGTGAGGGACTTCCATCGAGCCGTGGCCCCAGACCTATAAACCTGGAATTACTTATGACCTCGGGCTTCTGATCTTCCTGCCTCTATCTGCTGGGGTTACAGATATGTCATATACCACCACACCTTGTTTATTCACTGCTGGGGGCCAACCCAACGGTGCTTTGCATGTTGGGAAAGCATTCTACCAACTGTGCTGTCCCAGTCCTGTTGTTTGTTTGTTTTCAGGGTCTCAATGTGTAGCTCAGGAATTTGAAATCCTTCTTTAGGCCCAAACGTCATGGGCAACCACGCTCTGCCTAACTCCAGTCTCAACTGCCCCTGTCACTACCATTATAACCCTTGTGTAATAGCCACACACATGGCTGCACATGTCAGACCCATGCCCCAAACCAGAAGGACTGCTCGGACGGATGGAATGCTGTCAGTCTGCCCTGGAGCCTGTGGCTTGTTCCCCACTCCACTGGGGTCCTCAGAGTCCCCCTCACCTGGATGGTGTAGTTGGCCATGGCTGGATTGAAGTCTCGGAGCAGATTCTGGACTTCGACAGAGAATCTCGAGAGAGTCTGGGAAGGGAAAGGGTGGCTCATGGGTGGGCAGCAGCACAGCTGACGGGGATGGATAGGCTGTGTGGAAGAATCCAACCTCCCAGTCTCCATTGGCTACTCACCTGGCTGTGGGCTGTGGGCAGCAGAGTCCAGGTAGGAAAAAGTGGTTCTGTGGGGACAGGACTACAGTTCAGTAATCTTAGGGTGCACTTTTGGGGCATGGAGTCTGGGTGGCCGGGGCAGGTACCTTGGCATATGGTGTTCTTTGGCTCATTGTGGGACCCGGAAATTTGCTTCCAACCTGGGCGGCAGTGGCACGTGTAGGAGCCTATGGTGTTTTCACAGACGGTGGAACTGTGACATTGATGTTGTCCAGAACTGCACTCATCCACATCTGGGGATACAAGGAAGGGGTTAGGAGCTTGTCCTGTCTCCCAGTCTCTTGTGTGGTACTGCTACAGTACTGACCCCTGGTGGCCTCACTCGGTGATACACAATGGGCAGGGAATGTGCAGAGCCTAAGGCTTATAAATGCCATGAGAAAATACGAACCATGGACTTCTAGTAACTGAAGGCATCTGGGGTCCCCCGGGGCTTCCCCTTGATATCCCAGCTCCTTCCCTGGACCCCACACCTTTTCAAATTTAGCTTCAGGAGATTAAGCCCTGGCCCAACAGAGCCTCCTTTCATTCCTTTGATAAAACACTGGAGCTGAAGAGAGAGCTGAACCTGTGGATTCAGTTCCCACATCAAGTGGCTCACAACTGCCTGTAACCTGTGGATTCAGTCCCAGAGGATCTGACAGCCTCTTCTGGCTTCCTTGAGAACCTGCATTCATGTGGTGTATGGATACACACCCAAGGCACACACATATGAAACGGCCCTGGAACTCACAGAGATCTATCTGCCTGCCTCCACTGCCCTCAGAGTGAGGATTAAAGATGAGTGTCAGCACACTTGGCTAAAATAAACAAATCTTGAACATGAGATTAGCTATTGTGATTGGGAGTCCTCAGAAGGTTGCACTCAGACCTTCGCACACTGTGTTGACTGGGCCATTGGGGGATCCAGGAGCAGGTTTCCAGCCTTGACGACAGATGCAAGAATAGCTACCCAAGTTGTCGATGCAGTAGGTGGATTGGTGGCAGTGGTTTTGCCCTGAGGTGCATTCATTCACATCTGGGAACAAAACCAAAGGGTCATCTCTGCCCCCACTCACTCGTCCGTACACTGTGACAGTTTCCCATCTTCTCTCTCCTGCCATTGCTACCACCTGGTGGTCTGCAGTTTTACTCACAGAGCACCTCAAGGTGGTTTCTGCAGGACAGGCCCAGCAAAGATCAGGGGACCCAATTTATAGGAGTAAAACCAGGATGGAGACTGAGTTACAGCACTGGACTTCTTAGCCGAGGCCTCTGTTATTTTTGACTCTTTCTCAGAACAGGATGTGATACTGCTCTCAGAGCTGAGGAAGGCCTGAGAGCTCCATGGAGTTCCTGGGGCCTCCCTAACATGTAGTAACATGTTGCTAGGAGCTGAGTCCTCGGGGAGTCTTCATAATTCTTGGAGCTGCTGGGACCCTGCAGATCTCCCTCTTCAGGCTAACAGACCTTGCCTCCCCCCAGGTCCTGTCTTACGGCTTCGTCTGGGTGGACTTCCACCTGTATACCTTCAGGGTACACACCCGTGTATGAGTAGCTGCCCTGGGTTGGTGCAAATGCTGTGTTCCTACAGACTCTAGGGTTCAGACCCTCATCTGCTCATGAGAAGAAACAGAGGGGATTATGTCCTTGAAGTTGAAGCCATGACACAGAAGCATCTGGAACATTTCAATCTCCGCCTTGTGGGAAGACCACCACCTTCTAATTCATATAAAGACATCAAATAGGGTCCATGGTCGTTCTGACTCTATTGTCTGGATATTGGGGGGAAGCAGTCAAGGGTTCCCTAACTGCCAGCAATAGGAATGTGTCAGCCATCAGTATCCCAGCCTGAAGATTTGGGGTTAAGACTACATATGACTCTTAGGAATCAGTGCGAGGGGTTGGGGGGTGCCCTGTATTCCCCATGGTAGCCTCTGTCGCACTCTTGCAGAGTTCTACATACTTCCAGGAACCTCAGTCACACCAGGGCCCCAGACCTCTGTCAGTGGAGGACTGAGTGCTGTCCCCAAGCCACACTCCCTCTAGAAACTCAACAGGAGAGGTAGGGCACGAGGGATAGCACTAGAGAGGCCACGACACCACACAGTGGAAGCCAGCTCTGGGCTGACAAGCTGTTGGGCAGCCAGGCATCACTTGGCAGAAGTTACAGAGGGTAAGAACATCGATTCCACTGAAGCCCTTCAAGATCACAGTGCCCAGAGAGGGAGATGTGCTGCTGGGGGCAGGAGTGGTAGATATTTCTGTCCTCTCTTTTTCTGCCATGGCCACAGACCAGGGGATGTGCTGAGTGTAGCCAGGCTTTCTTCTATCGACTTGTCTGGCCTGGCAACTGTGGGTGGTTGGTTGGCATCATTAGGTAAGGGTAGGAAACGAAACAACGACCCTCCATAACACCTTCTCTTGCACTGTGCTAGCCTTCAACTCTCTTGGGTATGTGTTGGCGAGGCGGGGGTTAATGTCACCCTGCCCAATCTGACCATACCATGTTGTAGTCAAGGAACCAGAATTGCTGGGGATAGTCAGAATGGTGACTGGGTAGAGCAATGGATAAAGCTGACCAAAATGGGAGTCCGGGCATCAAGTGTTGTCTTCCAGCAGAAGTAATGGCAGGGAGTGTGGCCTACCCTTGGGTGTCCTCTCTTCTGAGTCTCCCAGCTGTGAATGGTGCACTGTAGTTGGCTGCTTGGGGAGATTTCCAGGTGCAGTAGTAACTGTGTGGCTCCTGGAGGGCACCGGTGTCATCCCAGTGTCCACTGATGCTGGGAAGAGGACGGACACTGCATTGGAACGTGCTTGTGGTAGATGCAGAGCATTCTGAATGCCATTCCTTTGGTTTATGCAAATGAGATGCAGATGGGCAGAGGGATGGTGGCTTATGCAAATGAGACGATGACAGGAGGATGGTGGGTTATGCAAATGAGATGCAGATGGACACGAGGAGTTCTGAACTTCCAGAACATAGTAGAGAAGGAGAAGAGGATATGGCCCGAAGAATCCTGCCATCTTTTGAGTGCGGTCCAGATGAGCATGGCTTCCAAGTGATGCAGGATGGACTCGGGAGTGCTCGGTGATGTCGGGAGTTCTCGGTGCTGGCTCAGCACCGTGGGGCATCGAATGAGCTCTGCTCTAAGCTGGATGTTCTCTACCACCTTCCTTGGGGTCTGTGGAGACTCCTGTGTCACCTCATGTAGGGTAACATTTTTCTGAAAATCAATCTCTTTCTCTCGGTCTCTCTTTTCGGGACAGGGTCTCATTATGTAGCTCTGGTATCCTGGAACTCACTCTGAAGACCATGCTGGCTTCCAACTCACAGAGATCTGCCGGCCTCTAATGTGTTGAATTTAAAGGAGTATGCCTCACTCCTTTTGCAAATGTCTCTTGTGTTCAAAAAAAACAAACTTTTGCCGGGCGGTGGTGGCGCACGCCTTTAATCCCAGCACTTGGGAGGCAGAGGCAGGCGGATTTCTGAGTTCGAGGCCAGCCTGGTCTATAGAGTGAGTTCCAGGACAGCCAGGGCCACACAGAGAAACCCTGTCTCGAAAAACAAACAAAAAAAAGAAGAAGAAAAAAAAAAAAAGAAAACAAACTTTTTCTAAGATCTTGCTATCAAGTTAATAATTTGCCTTGAGATCACTTAAGACTATGTACTTAACCTGCTGCCCTACTGTGTGCTCTGCCTGTTAAAAGTTTAACCTACCTTTAAGAGAACAATGCTGCCAACCTTACTATTCCTTAGATTTCCCATTTAATCAACTTTTACAACCTAAGCTAAATGCATAGCGTCAATCTTAAGTTAGGTACTCTTCCATGCTCCTGACCCAGAATAATGTACGCGTGCCTTTGTGAGTGAGAGCACATGTTGTGGTAATCATTTCCTGAAAACAACCAGTAGGTTGAGAACAATGTTATACAACAAATCTTCCCCAGAGATGCTAGAAATAGCATGTGGATATAGGGTGATGTCTGTTTGGTGTTCTGAGTAAGTTATTTTTCCCTTGTATAATTCTTTAAAGACTTCTGTAGAGAAGCCCTCAATCCTTTGCCATGCTGTGTGTTTCTATGCTGTTTAATAAATACAGAACAAATCTCTTTGTTAGAGACAGACAGAAGGCCGGGCAGTGGTGGAGCATGTCTTTAATCCCAGCACTAGGAAGGCAGAGGCAGGCAGATTTCTGAGTTCGAGGCCAGCCTGGTCTACAGAGTGAGTTCCAGGACAACCAGGACTACACAGAGAAACCCTGTCTCAAAAAACAACAACAACAACAAAACAAAAAAACAAAACAAACAAAAGACAGACAGAAGACCCTGGGAGAGAAGTGGAGAATTCTTTCTGATTGTTTGATTGATTGATTTTATTTTTCAAGAATAGGTTTCTCTGTGTAAACCTGGCTATCCTGGTACTCATGATGTAGAGCAAGCTGGCCTCAAACTCACAGAGATCCTCCTGCCTCTCCCTCCCGAATGCTGTGATTGAAGGTATGTACCACCTCCACCAGGCTATTTTTGGGTTTTTGAGACACGGTCTTTCCATAAACCTCTGGTTGTCCTGGAACTTGCTACAGATGCATTACTTAGCTCATATTCTAGCCTCAAACTCCAAAGTGTTGGATCACAGACGTGTGCCACATTACCTAACTAAACAGGGCTTTCTGAGTCACACATAGACATCAGGATGAGGCCTTGGTAGGGTGTCCCGAATCTCCCCTCCTCCCTGCTTGTGGATGTGACACATGACCCAGAGCAAACCACAGTGGCAGAACCAACATCAGATCCCTGCAGCTGCTACAGTACATATGCTGGTGACCCTGAAGCTGACATTGGTGAGGTGAGGCATAGAGGGCGGGCGGTCTTACCATGACATGTGTTCTCACTCATGTTAGCAAAAGATTCTGCTCCAGAAAGGAGCTTATACCCCAGGTTACAGGTGCAGGAGTAGCTCCCCTCTGAGTTCTCACAAATGGCATGCGGTCCACAGGAAAAGTCAGGTTGTATACACTCGTTGATGTCTACAACAAAACAAGGGTCACCTCCCACACCTGAAAGTTCTCCCAAGGAGGAGACTCCCATCCCTACCTGACTACCGGTCTGGGACATGCTGATGAGTTAGTATCTTCTGGGGAAAATTATGGGCTCTACTCATAAGGCTGAGCTATAGGTCTAGAAAGCTATTCCTGAAGCTGATTGGTCCGCTCTGCTCCTCTTGGTCCTCTGGATGGAACCCAGGGTTGAACAATACCAATGTGGGAGTGGAACGGAAGGCCGGCCTTCTTCTTCCAGTTCCTAAAGCCAAGTTCAGGCACAGACCCCTGAACTCCTCGCAGGGAGCCCATCTTTTCATTTCTTGCCTCCCCCACCTTGCTTTCTTTCTCTGTCTTTGACAAAGGCTAACCCCCTGGCCCCAGACCAAACACTGTCATCTCTTCACGTGCCCATCCCCCAGCCTTTGTACCTTCACAGCTCCCTGAGGGACTAGTGACCAACTTGCTGTTGCTATCGCTGTCCGAGCTGAAACCTGGCTTGCATTCACAGCTTCTGTTACTGATACATATTGAGTTGTCAGGGCACCACTTGGCACAGTCTGTGGGGGACAGATACCCTGGTAAGAAAGTAAAGGAGGCCCAGTAGAGGGGAAGTGGCACCGAGAACGCATGTTAGGAAGGTGTAAGGAGGCCCTAAAGTTCCCCAGCATCTGCTCATCTCCTCCCAAGGCTCTGTGGTTGGGAGCGGGATTCTCTCCCCAGCTCTGGCTGTGCAGCCCTTGTGTCCAGTGGACTTACTCTCTGCCTTCTGGGGTCCAGCTTCTGAGAGATTCAGTAAAATGCACACCACTGCAAAACAGTAAAAGACGGTCAGCGGGAAGCCAGAGCAGGGACAGGAGGCCCAAGTTGTGCATCTGTGGGCATCGGGTGATTACCTTGCCCAGACTGAGGTTCTGTAGCTAATATGAAATGACAGACCCAGGGGGTGGGCCTAACGACACTTGCTTATAATTCAATTACTCAGGATGCTGAAGCAGGAGGATTAGGAGCTCAAAGCTGACTCTGGGCTACATACTGAGACCCCATCTCAAAAACAAAACAAACAAACAAACAACCAGCCAGGGCTGGAGAGATAGTTCAGCAGTTAAGAGCACTGGCTGCTCTTCTAGAGGTCATGAGTTCAATTCCCAGCAACCATCTGTAATGGAACCCGATACCCTTTCCTGGTAAGCAGAGGTTACATGCAGACAAAACACCCATATACATAAATAAATAGATCTTTTAAAAACTAAACAAGCAAATAATAATAACAATGACAACAAACTGCACAGTTAAGAATGGGGTTCATGTCTAAAACCCCAATATATGGGAGGTGTTGCAGGAAGATCAGAAGTCTGAAATCACCCCACATATCAAGGCTAAGTCCAACCTAGGCTACATGAATCCTATCTCTAAATAAATAAAAATAACAGAATAATACAAACAATGAAGGATAACTTGGGAAGGGGGGGGGGGTCAAGGTTTATACAACAAAACTGGTGTACATGAGAATCTCCTCATGGGGCAACCAGATCTTGGGGGCCAGTATACAGCATTTGAATATACAGTAGCACCAGACCAATCCCCCACAATTAACACTGGCTCTGGCTGTCCTGGAACTCCCAGAGATCCAGATACCTCTGCCTCCCCAGTGCTGGGATTAGAGGTGCACCACCACACCTCAGTGTGATACTGTCTTTTACACTTCTTTGTTTTAATTTGTTTTCTATTGTTTTGTCTCAAAATGCTGGGACAGAACCCAGCACTTACATGTTAGCCAAGTGCTCTACCACTGAGCCCATTCCCAACCCCTCTTTTTACTTTATTTGTAAATTCAGGCTGGGTTTTCACTTGAAATCCTCCTGCTTCAGTGTTCTGTGGAGCTGGTACAGGCCTATGCTACCAGGCCGGACCTTTGTAATTTTTTAAGGAAGAATGAAAGCTTGGGCTACATCTCCCAGGTCCCATCCGAGCTCTGACACTCCAACACTGCATGTGTACCTACTGTTAACCGCGTGACCCCATGGCCGCATGTCAGAGAGGGCTCCTTACTCACAGGAAGTGGCTGTGGTGGAGGGTGGGTGACTGCTGGCTGCTGTTGGCAGGCATCCCACCCAAGGCAAGACTGGGTAACAGAGCAGTCACTAGAGACAGGCATCTAAGAAAGCAGAGGTGGACATGACTGGGGGGGGGGGAAGGGAGGATGAGAAGCAGGACATGAAGGCAAGCAGGGTGACCCGTGACCCGGTGGCTGGAGGCTGAGGCAGGAGGCTGCAGGGGCAGGAGGCTCCTCAATTAAAAGCTACACAAAACTCAAGGGCAGCCTGGATAGTTTGGGAACCTGATTGAACCAAGGCCCTGGGTTCCATGCCCAGGACCAAAACATGAAAGGGGGTGGGGACCCATACGATGGAAGGAGAACACTGACCTCACCATGGGTGTCATGGCATGTGAGCACACACACATGCACGCACGCACACACACACACACACACACACACACACGAACATGTACACGTACGTACCCACCCACATAAAACTAAAACTAAAGCCAAACAAACAACCAAAAACAAAAACAAACTGGCAGCTGGAAAGATGGCTCCTCAGTTAAGAGCCCCTGGCTGCTCTTCCAGTGGACCCAGGATTCAGCTCCCAGCACCCACACAGTGGTTCCTAACAGCCTGTAACTCCAGTTCCAGGGACTTCGGTGCCCTCTTCTGGTCTCCAAGGGCACAGGAATGCACGTGGTGCATACACACATATGCAAGCAAGCAGAACACTGATAAACACAAACCAAGGGCGGGCCCCCCCCCCAGACGGAGCTGCTATGCAAAACCAACTACTTGGGGTGCTGACGCAGGAAGATTGGAAGTCCCCAACCTGGGCTACAGGACGTAGATGCTTGTCTCAGAATAAAAAACAAGAAAAAACTGACGTGTAGTACCTGTGAAGGTGCTGGTCTGGCAGCTGCGACTCCCTGGTTTCCCTCTCAGTACAGAAGAAGAAAGGAGTGGGGGTTGGGGGTTACTGACAGAAAGTTGGGAAGGAAGGTGTCCCGGGGAGCAGGAGGCCTGGAGAGCAGTTAGGGGACAGAGTTGATCCCAGTATGGGGAATACAGAATCAAGAAAAGAATCCCAGGAACAGGAATCCTAGAGGGAGCCCTCGGGAGAAGGGCTGGTGGGGGGGATGGGTGACTCACTTCCTTGATGATTCACCCACCACTGGGCTGGCTGCATGCCAGGTTCCCAGGAGACTTCTGGGGTCAGCCACTATGAGCAGGGTTGTTGGGGCAGGGGCAGTGAACTCAGAGGGTCCCCTGAAAGCTTGGTGTTTGTCTGACTGGGTTTCCTTCAGGCCAATGGAGAGGCTCTAGGTGAAACTCACCCCCTCAAAGCTGGGGTGTTCTGAGGCAGAGCACTCCAGCCAGGCAGTTGTCAGAATTCTTTCTGCCTCCACTTGGGCCACTGAGCTGGATTTCTCCTACCACACCCATCAGAACCCAGTTCCTCTTTGTGGGACAGACCACAAGATGACCTTTCCTTCATGCTGGGCCCTGGCATAATTCACAGTTCCTAAAGTCCAGTACCAGTGTGTGTGTCTGTGTGAACAGCCTCGGTACCTTCACCATGGACCTCATCAAGCAGGCTTGGCTAGCTAGCCAGCAAGCCCCAGGGACAGACACTATGATCACAAGTGTGTGTCACCACATCCAGCTTCCTTCACAGAAATCATTTACTGACGGAGCCCTCCCTCCAGCCCTCAAGTCACTTTTGAAAAAATAATATTGATTTACTTTTGGGTGTATGGATGTTCTGTCTGGATGCATATTGCCTGGCGCATAGATAAGGAGGAAGAGGGCACTGGAGGCCTTGGAACTGGAGTTAAAGATGGTTGTGAGCCACTGTGTGGTTCCAAGGAGATGATCTCTGTCCTCTGAAAGCACAGCAAGCACTCTTAACCACTGAGCCATCTCTCCAGCCCCTTAAGTAATTTCTTTAAGACTCAGAACCTCGGCTGTGCCTGGTGATGCACACTTTCAGAGCCAACACTGTTGAAGCACCATGGGAGAACTCTGCTGGAGGCCAGCCTGGTCTACCCAGGAAGTGAAGGCTATGTAGGAAGACCCTATCTTAACAAGACAGAAGTAAGGGGATTAGTACACATTCAAAACCAGTCAGGGCCACAGAGCTACAACGCCAAAGCCTGCGTCTCAAAACTAAAACCAAAACAGACTCAGAATGAAGCCAGACCTTGTTGCACAAATCTGTAATCTCAGCAACCAGAGGTGGAGGCAGGAGGACCAGAGGTACAAAGTCATCTTAGTCACCCTGAAAGCTTGTTTGCAAAAAAAGAAAACAAACAAACAGACTCAGAGCAACATCAGCCATCGGGAGGATCAGGAGGTAGGGGCTGGGGTTACGTCTGTTCTACACAAAGAGAAACTGAGGCTTGGAGCTTGGAAAAAGATTAGTGGTCAAACCAGGCCAGAGAAAGGCCAGAGACTGGAGTAATAGAGTCCCAGAGCCAGGGTAGGCTCCTTGTCCCCTGGGCTGGGCTGGGCTCTACCCCAGCCACTGGTCAGACTGCCCACATCTGGAGACTTGGAAGTGAATCAAACAGGAGCAGAGCTGTTCCCTTCTGCTCCCAGACACATCTGGTTCAAATTCCCCAGCTGAGACTGGAGCCGGGGACTCCTGCTTAGGGAATCCAGAAGTGGGGGAAGGGCAGCCTTTGTGCTTCCTGCCAGAGACATCCCAGCATCTCACCCAGAAAAAATAATCACAATGAAAAAACAGTGTCCACTTAAGTGTGTGTGTGCATGTGTGTGTGTGTGTGTCTGTGTGTGTGTGTCTGTGTGTGGTGCGTGGCGTGTTTTGAGATAGTATCTCGTTGTGTAGTTCTGGCTGTCGTGGAACTTACTATGTTGACCAGGTTGACCTTCAACTCCCAGGGTCACAGAAGTCTCCTGCCTCAGCCTCTCTGGTGCTGGGATTCAAAACCTGAGACACAAGCTAGCTAGGCTGGTTAGTTGGTTTTCCAGACAAGGTCTTACATGGCCTCAAACTCAGTGTGCAGCAGAAAATGACCTTGAACTTCTGAGCCTCCTGCCTCTACTACCTGGGTACTACCATAGCAGACACAGACACTACAGCCACATGCTCAGGTAATTCAAACTGTAAACTAGAATGTTACTATACAAACTCTTGGCCCTTGAAACACTAGGGGCAAATGCTGGTGGTCTTGTTCCATTTTACAGAGGAGCAAAGTGCAGCCCAAGGTCACTGTGACCCAGCCAGGCAGGCCTCTGCAGCTGTTTGTCACCAACTGTGACACGCCGCCGGGACTCTATTTCCTGGCTTCAGAGCCCATGGCCACTGGCCTGCCACCTGCCACCTGCTACTAGTACACAGGCCAGTCATTGTGGTTAGGGTAACCCCAGTTTGTTCCCTAAGTTGCATATATTGGGGTAACTCCAGTGTGTGCCCCAAGTTCCATTTTTTCACTGTTTGTTGTCAAGTTACTTAGGTAACTTAGCAGTCAAACGACGGTTGAGGTGTCCAGGGTGGGGCGGGAAAGGAGACCAGGAAAGTCACAATGAAAGCCAAGTTCAAACCACAGCCTGAGAAGATCTGTTCAGCCAGCAGCTCAGTTCCAGGCAAGTCCTAAGGACAGTCTCTGCAGTGTTCCTGGCACTGAGACAGCAGGGGACACACTGGAGGAGGAGTGCCCACCCTCAAAGAAATGTGCATCTTCACACGGGTTTTACTTCACTTAAGAGCATCTGTATGGGCAACAGTTTGCAAAGTGAACTTTAACCTACATTTCTTTTCAGCTTTGTATTTTATTACTGTATGTGTTTTGCCTGAATGTATGTTTGTGATCTGCATGTATGTTTGTGCACTACATGTATGTTTGTGCACTACATGTCTGGTGCCTGTGGAAGCAGAAGAGAGTGTGGATCCCCTGGAATTGGAGTTACAGACACTTGTGAGCCACCATTATAGTTGCTAGGATTCAAGCAAGTCCTCTCTTAAAGCTCTTAACCTCGGCACCACCCCAGCCCCTAGCCTGAATTTCTTTTTCTTTTGTTCTTTTGAGACAGGGTCTTGCGGTGTAGCCCAGGCTGTCCTGGAATTGGTGACCCACCTGCCTCAGCCTCCCTAATGCCCTGTGACACCATGCCCGCGTTGCCACCTCCTGCCTCAGTTTCTCCCTCTTAGCCTCCAAATTAGCAACACTCAAGCCCATTAGGACCTGACACCCCCTGGGAGCCTTCTGGGGCGCACAGGTGCGCGGGCTTTGCCTGTCCCTGGCCCACCCGGCCACGTCCCGCGAGCTCCCTCCCGGCCCCGCGCAACCCCAAGGTCTCACCGAGCAGGAGGTGGCAGCTGACGCCCCTCATGGTGGCGCGGACCGGACAGCGTCTGGGCTGACAGAGGGCTGTGGCGGCCGGCTGGGCTGGGCCTTTATGCAGCGGGCGTGGGCAGGGCCCTCCCCGGAACTGTCCTCCCCGCTGGAAAGTAACAGGAAAGTGCCGGGGAAACAGACCCAGGGCGCGGCGCGCGACCGCGTCTGGAACAAACGCAATGCCCCCGCGCGCGCGGCCCCGGCACCCGCCCCCGCGGGGAGCTGGTTGGTGTGGACCAGGCGCCCGGGGACAGGGACCAGGCACATTGGAAAGAGCTGGGTGGAGCTCCCACCGCAGCGATGTCCTGGGCTCCTAAGCAACACCCCCCCCCCCGCCCCATTCCCATCAGCAGGACTTGCCGGCTTCTTTTCCAAAAGAGAAACTGAGGCACAGAGAAGCCAGAGGCCAAATAACTAGAGGAATAGACTGAGAGTCCGGCCGGGATGACAGGGAGGGAACGAGAAACCTTATGGTTTGGAGATGTGGCTCAGTGGCTTAACCTGCTCGAGGCCCTGTCTAGCCTCAAAGCCACATGAACCGGCGGAGGACCTGTAATCCCAGCGCTGATCAGGACTTTTGAAGCCTGCCAGCTCTAAAAGAGACCTTTGTCCCACAAAGAAGAAGAGGGATACCGCATGGTTGCGTTGGCCTACAGTAATTATTCTGGGAAGCAGAGGCTAAAGCCAAGGCTATCCTTGCCCACCACATAGGAGTTCCATGATAGCCAGGTGTATGAAGCAAGAGCCCATCTCAAAAATAAATAATAAAAGGAGGGTTTAAGGTAAAAGGGAGGCCTGACACCCAAGATGGTTCAGCGGGTAAAAGCACTTTCTCCAAAACCTAACGATCTGATTTCTGATACCCAGGACCTCAGGATGGAAGGAGAGAACCAAGTCCTGAAAGTTGTCCTCTGACTTTCACAGGTACACTGTGCATACAGATATCTATCCAAACACTAAACCAAAAGGTCAATAAATAAAACGTAATAAGGACTTAAAGTAGAGGAAGAGAGAGCTTTGACATCGCTAACCACTGTGGGGGTTTTTTGGTTACACACGCTGACCTTGCTACAATCTATAGAGAATCATGTGATGTACACTGGCTTCCTGTTTAAGTTACTTGTGTAACTATGGTTTCTTTTTATGTGTGTGTGTGTTGGGAGCTGGAAGGATGCTAAACCCAGTGCATGCTGGGCAAGCACTCTACCAAGCGAACTACATTTCCAGACACATCTAGTGACTTTTCAAAATATTATTGATTTTCTTTTCTTTCTTTGAAACAGGGTCTCAAATAGATCAGGCTAGATTTCAACTCCTTGTAGCCTAGGATGGCATTGAATTCCTGATTTTCTGCCTCCAAAGCCCGAGTCTGCTGCAATCACAGGCATACACCACGGGGATGGGTGGGGTGTCAGGTCTCCCTTTTACCTTAAAAAATTCTGGGTTCAAGTCAGGCCATGGCACACACCTTTAGTCCCAGCACTTGGGAGGCAGAGGCAGGAGGATCTCTGTGAGTCGGACGCCAGTCTGGTCTACACAGTGTGTCAGGGCAGCCAGGGTTGTTACACAGAGAAACTCTATCTTAAAAAACAAAAACAAAGTGTAAAAATAAAAAATAAACTCCAAGTTCTGAGTGAGGGCTGTAGCTGATTATGATGGTAATGGGGAGCTCACGAGGCTGAGGCAGGAGGGTTGCCAGGAGTCTGTGGCTATCCTGATCCACAGTGTGAGAGAAAAGGTGAAGGGAAGTTGTAGAAGATGTGTGCTATTGGGGCTGGAGATGGCTCTGGAGAGAGAGAGCACTGGCTGCTCTTCCAGAGTCAGGGTTAGATCCCCAGCAGCCTGTAACTCTAGTCCCAAGGGAGCTGATGCTATCTTCTGGACTCCGCAGGCATAGCATATACTTGGTGCACAGATAAAACAGGCAGGCAAAACTGACAAAGGACAAACTGAAAACTAATAACAAAAGCAAAGACACAGTATTCCTGTCAAATGAACACAGAGAAGAAGAAGCATTTCATAGAAATAAAATAAATGTTTTATTTGGGAAAAGTCAATTTCTTACATAGATTTTAAATTTATTTATTTATTTATTTATTTATTTATTTATTTATTTATTTATTTATTTATTTATTTATCGAGACAGGGTTTCTCTGTGTAGCCCTGGCTGTCCTGGAACTCACTCTGTAGACCAGGCTGGCCTCGAACTCAGATATCCGCCTGCCTCTGCCTCCCAAGTGCTGGGATTAAAGGCGTGCGCCACCACCGCCCGGCGATTTTAAATGTTAATTATGATGGTATTTTAAATGCATTTCGTTGACTGTGACATATATGTATCTTTTTTCCTCTATTTAGAAGGGTTAAAAAATATTGACAATTCCACTCTGGTGTATCTGTCCTTGCACTGAAACATCCCCACTCCCTTATTTGAAAAGGACGTGAAGCTTAAGGCTTGTGGAATGAAGACTAAGGCCAAGAATTCTAAGCATGATAGAAGTTTCTTTTTAAACCTTGGTGTGTGGATTTAAAAGAAAATGTGTGGGACATAGTAAGTCATAGGGGACATTGAAAAGTGACCAGTGGCCACATTAGGCACGAGTCGCTGTGAGACAGCTGACCCTCCGTTCAAGGTTTAATCCCTTGGGGTTTGCACAAGAGCCAGCAGAGAGGAGGATGAGAAGGGAAAGGGCCATTCCGAGTCTTAAGTGGAATTGGGTCTTTTTTCTCCAAACATGGTGTAACCTCAGGGTTCAGTGTCCCCACGGACTGGCAGGCAGAGCCTCCCTGGGACTTGATTTTTCCTGTCTGTTGAATGGAAGATTAAACCGAGCATGGCGGCTCATGGTTGTCATCTCAGTTCTAAGAAGGCAGAGACGGGGGTTTATGAGTTCACATGGTGTGATGGCTGTCACCTTCACTACCTCTGAAATAAATGAAAAAGCCCAAGACAATGGCACACCCATGAGAGATAATTTTAGTTGATTAGGTCATCTGAATTGGGAAGATCCAACTTAAATCTGGCCACACCTTCTGGTAGCAGCCTATATAAAGGGCATGGAAGAAGGAAGCTCTTGTCCTTTGCCTGCCTGTTCTCCATGTCACTGACAAATTTTTTCCTTCACTTACATTACAGCCTACTTCTTAGGGATTCTGAGACATAAGAGCACCTGAGGCATATGGCTTCATGGACTGAACAACTATTAGATTCTTGGCCTGTCAGGAGACAGTCATTGTTGGATTACCTGAGCCACCACCTGTATGCCCTAATAAAGCCCATACAATTCTCATGCTATCAGCTGTGTTATTTTAGAGAACTCTGAACTCTGACAACTGTACATATCAAATTCAACTCAACGTTAGCCAGGGCTACATGAGATACTGTCTCAAAAACAAAAACTAGATTCAAAAAAAAAAAAAAAAAGCCAAGTGTGGTAGCCCACAGGAGTCATCCCAGCACTCAGCAGCAAAGGCAAGAGGGTTGCTGGGAATCCCAAGCCAACCAAAGTTATAGATGGAGTGTGTCTCAAACAAAATAAAAAGGGTGGAGAGATTACTCAGCTGTTAGAGCACTTGCCACTCTTCCAGAGGACCTGGGTTTGCTTCCCAGCACCCACATGGTGGCCCACAACCATCTGTAACTCCTGGTCCAGGGGACTCAAGACCTTCCTCTGACCACCCTAGGCACCACCTAGGCAGGCATATGGTGCACAGACATGCACGCAGGCCAACATGTATACACAAAATTAAAAAAAAAATCTTTAAAAACGAAACAGGAAAAAAGATCTGATTGATGTAGTGAGAATTCTGGAATTTTTGTTTCTTTAAAAACACAAGAATACTGTAAAAGTGTGTTTTCATTTTAATCCCAGGTGTGGGATGCGGGGCTACTTCAGATCGTCCACAGCTGCTGACTGTGACTCGCCTCCTGCTCTAGCTAGAAGGTTCTGCCAGCTCCAGATAGTTTCTGTGATTGTGTGACATTTGGAATTCTGGGAGCTTCTCAGAGGGTATATAAATGTTAGTGCCCCATAGATGTCTCCCTCTCTCCCTCCCTCTCCCTCTCTTCTTCTACCTCTCTCTTTCCCTTTCTCTCCCTCTCCCTCTCCCTCTCCCTCCTCCTTCCCTCTTTCTCTCTCCTTTTCTCTCTCCTCCTGTCCCCTTCCCCCTATCTTTCTCCCTTTCCCCCCACCCCCTCTCTTTCCCTCTCTCTCTCCCTTCCCCTTCCCCTCTCTCTTTCTCTGTCCCTCCCTCTCCCTCTCCCTCTCTCCCTCTCCTCTATTCTTTCTCTCCTATCTAGTGATGGGAGGTGAGACGGGGAGGGGGATAAAGGGTGGGAAAAAGAAGAACCCCTAAAACAGCCAGGTCCACCTACAAACTCCAGTGTTTTAAGGGACAGCGAGGAGGGGACAGAGTGACAGGAGAAAGGCTTCAGGCTGATGGCTCTATGGTATCCTCTCCTCTGCCATTACGTATCCCAAGTCTGACCTGTCTGCAGGCTGAAACAGAACCACAGCTCCACTTCTCACCCCCTACCCTGGTTCATTGCCTTATTCCCATCCTCCATCTCTTCCCCAGTGCACCATAACCCGGCTGGCCTGGAACTCACTTCGAAGACCAGGCTGGCCTCAAACTCACTGAGATTTGCCTCTTCTCCTGTGTGCTGAAATTAAAGTTGTACACCACCCTGCTTGGTGAGTCTTTAGTCACATTGCTGTTGTTGTCACAGGTCTTACAGGGGTTATCTGGCACTTAATGGGTACCTGGCTTGTGTTCTGTTGGTGGTGGTTGTTTTCTCAGCACTAGGGAACACTCTTGGGCTCTGAAGCATGCCAGACTACTGGTCACCACTGACCCAAATCCCTAGCCCCTGGGAGTGTCTGGCCTCAGGGTCCTTGCACAGTTGGAGAATTCTGAAAGGCTCATTGACTGTAACCTCTGAAGGCCTTCCTGCTCTTTGGTTTGGGTTTGAATATCGATGAAGTTCCTACACCCTTATCAGGACTGTCCACCCAGGCCTCCCTGGCTTGAACCAGCAGTCCTTCCTAGCT